TTTTGTCGTGCTCGGGCTCCCTATGCGACGCACCGCCCAACTCAGCCCCAGCCACCGGCACAGGCCCCAACCGCGACCTTTCCTCAAGCAATTTCTCGTAATACTCCTCCTGCTCCTCAAGCTTCTGCTGGAGCAGCTCATCGTGCTCCGCAATGCGCTTATTTGCCTCGAGAAGCGCGTCCTCCAACTCCTCCTCGCGGCTCTCCTGGAGCTGGCGCAACTCTTCCTGCAGCTGACGCAACTCTTCCTGCAGCTTGGCGTTCGCTGCCTTGAGCTCGGCCTCCGTGCGCTGCAGGGCGGCCTCCGCCGCCTCACGGCCACGTTCCGCGTCGGCACACTGCTGCGACAGGCGCCTCACCTCCTCCGCCGCGCCGTCGCCGGCCAGGGCGGCACTCGACGGCCCAGCCTCCGTCTCTGCCAGCCGTCCGCGAAGCTCAGTCACGAGGGCCTCCAGCTCGGCCAGGCGCTCCCCAGACACGGCGCCGCCGGCCGCCGCGGAGTGCTGCACTGTGTGGGCACCAAACACGTCGTCGTCATCCAACCCCTGAGCGCCCTGGCCCGCAAGTGCACCCGGCTCCTGCGACGGCACGCCCATGCTGGCAAAGGGGTTTTTGGACGCGGCAGCTACACGGCGCGGCTGCTCAGCAGGCTTCGCTTTCTCCCCACTTTTGTCGTGCTCGGGCTCCCTATGCGACGCACCGCCCAACTCAGCCCCAGCCACCGGCACAGGCCCCAACCGCGACCTTTCCTCAAGCAATTTCTCGTAATACTCCTCCTGCTCCTCAAGCTTCTGCTGGAGCAGCTCATCGTGCTCCGCAATGCGCTTATTTGCCTCGAGAAGCGCGTCCTCCAACTCCTCCTCGCGGCTCTCCTGGAGCTGGCGCAACTCTTCCTGCAGCTGACGCAACTCTTCCTGCAGCTTGGCGTTCGCTGCCTTGAGCTCGGCCTCCGTGCGCTGCAGGGCGGCCTCCGCCGCCTCACGGCCACGTTCCGCGTCGGCACACTGCTGCGACAGGCGCCTCACCTCCTCCGCCGCGCCGTCGCCGGCCAGGGCGGCACTCGACGGCCCAGCCTCCGTCTCTGCCAGCCGTCCGCGAAGCTCAGTCACGAGGGCCTCCAGCTCGGCCAGGCGCT